AGTTATCCTCGCGATATGTCAAATCAATTTTGGAACACCTTGTATAAAAAAAAGGATCTGCTCCTCGCGTTAAATTTTCTGGTGAATCTTAAATTTGAAAAGAGATTCTGACATTTTCATGAAATAGTATATTTTGATATGAGTGCGTACAAGTGTATTTTGACCCGTGGGAGGTGACCCCCAGGGATTAAAGATCACTTCCCACGAGTATCGAACCCTATTTTCCATCACGATGTGGGAAATTGAGATTGTACGCACAAGCGATGAAAACCCGTTTTGCAGGTCTCCACAAAAATCGTGCTCTTCCCCTTAAATTCCGAGTGGAATAGACTCACCCTCTTCCCCGCCCTCAATTTATTTCGACTTGATTTCAACAATCACCTGTACTTGGAGACGATTTCATGGGCTCGATCGAGGTCCTTCTCACTAGCGAAGACATTCAAAGGGTTTGTGAGATTGAGAAAATGTTTGGCCCTTCCGACATAAGTGCCCTGATCCCACCTGGGCTTCTCAATGTCAATTCTTCCATCCTTCGAAATCGACATCGCTGTCACTCTTCACTGAGTCCCCCTTTTTCCCTGCCTCTTTCACCGTTCAGGCGTCTTCCCCACCACAAATTATCACCCCTGGCTCACCTACAAACGAATGACCCAGTGAGAGCCACAGCATATGCTACAAAATAATCGTAAAACGTAATGAAAAGATTAAGAAAACGCCGTAGTTTCCTATTTGATTTTTGACTGACACTCGCTCGTAAACACTTACGCGCGCCCAATGTCTTGCCTACAACCTCCCACCCGACCGTCTGACCATATCGCAGTAGAGGAAAGTTGTAATCACACTCCAGTGAGTGTATTAAGCCCGTGAGGCGCGCCAGCCACGTATATACACTGATGGTACACACACGGACGTTCGCATCGATCTCTGGGGACCGCCTTTGGTGCGTGCGCAGGGTCCGTCTCTCGGTTTTGCTTCAATTCCTGGTGGCGCCGGGGCGCTCAGATATTTCATATAATTTCCGGTATAACCACGAGATGGGGTTATTCGGGGATTTTGAATTGCCGAAAGACATCGACACGGTTATGGATGTTTATTGATTTATCGAAAAACTGATGGTTTCATGTTCGAGGAAAATTCTGTAGTTTTGTAGATTTATGGGAGAACATTCGGGAGGGCGGGGCAAAATGAACATTTAATTTTATTTCAATGTTCATAACTCAGGAATAAATCCAGCAATTGAGCTCAGTCTGGACTCATCACAAAGGGAAGTATTCGGTTTGCGGACTTTTTTCTTTCAGAAAAAATTACGTGGATAGAATTCCTCCAGAAAATAGTTGCCGGAATTAAGGATATTTAAGTACTTTGTGTAAGTTAGCAACAGTTTTTCAAGCAAGATTCTGGATTTGATGAAAATTTTTCCGCCCCTGTACTTTTTCGAATTTTTTATTGTTGAATGAATTTTTTGGAGAATTTCGTCAATGCATATTGTAAATAATATTTCATTCAATTTTACACTTAGTCCACACGCAATACCCCCTTCCCGTGTGCACTTCTAGTGCGGTACGGTTTTGAGGTGTTTTCTTATGTTTTCGGATATGAGAAATCCGAATCCGGTAGTATTTTTTATGTAAGTGCGTGCAATTAATAGTTATAAACAAATTAAGTGGTTTTTTTGATGATTTTTTTTTTGTGGGAAACATTGGCAAATAGAAGAAAATGTTCATGACAAAAGTTGTTCCTTTTTGTGTGATAAATAATGATCAATTTTTTAAATCAAAATCCATCAATCCGTTGCCGAAATATGGTCCACCAGGTGAACGCGGGAGGATGCGCGGCGCGCGCAGTCCGCTCGAACCTCTTCCGTGTCGCGTACGCACCCATTTTCACATCATTTTGATGCTTTCGTCATGGATGCAACAATTGAAGGAGTAATTCAAAGAAGATAATCCTACATAGAAGTCAAAATTCAATGAAATGAGGGTGAAGCGAGCGAATGATCAATCTGTACAACTCCACACCGTTACTTGAAAACGAAAAAATACTCATCCGCATCCACATATCAATTTCTGACGATCGCGTTTCAATGATCAATCGGAAGCGGGGGTAAATGAATGAATTAACACTGTTGTTCAATCTTGTCTGACATCTTTGCTACAAACTCGGGTCTTCAACTCGGGCTTTCAATTGAAGGCCCGAGTTGTAGACCCGAGTTTGTAGCAGCGATGTCAGACAAGATATGAATGTTTTTTTGGGCTCAAATGAAAGAGCGGGTCGAGAAATGACGTCCTAGAGCCTCTAAACATGACAAACGAACGTCCACCTGACATTTTTAATACACTCACACCATGAATTTAAAGTGAATACTGCACAAAGAATGAATGTCATCCAGAATTTATTTCTCGTCAATAACTTATGATTATAAATTTCCTGTCACCGACTGATAGAACTCAATAGTTAATTAGTTAATTCAATACTCCGGCCCGAAGAGACTCTGAAAAAAATCACGTATTTAAATGTGACGAACATTCTCTTACGAGGATCGGAGGAAGACTGATTTATCGGAGTATTTTCTAAACGTCAGTTGACTAAAACAAGAAGAAATAAGAATATTTTTGCAGCTGTCCCCTCCGAATTTTCTTGGAATTGAAAATTTGCAGAAATAATACAAATAAATATCTCTCATACTTGGAGTATTAGTGTTTTGTGTGTTTTTGTTTTCCTTTCTATGTACCAATACATGAGTAGAGGTCGTTTTATCTGAGAAAAATGACGGATTGATGAGCATTCAGAGCGGATTTCAGCAACGGATTGATGGACTTTGATTTAAAAAAATGATAATTATTTATTACACAAAAAGGAACAACTTTTGTCATGAACATTTTCTTCTATTTGCCAATGTTTCCCATAAAAAAAAAATCATCAAAAAAACCACTTAATTTCTTTATAACTATTAATTGCACGCACTTACATAAAAAATACCACCGGATTCGGATTTCTCATACCCGAAAATATAAGAAAACACCTCAAAACCTTACCGCACTAGAAGTGCACACGGGAAGGGGGTATTGAGTGTGGACTAACTTGACTCTCTATAACTAAAGAATAATGATAAAATCAAATCAAATTCAGATAATAAATCAAATTGACAATCATATAAATTTTGAAGTAAGGATATCAAAGTATCTTTTATCAGTTTGGTACCGACCACACTAAAGATTCCACCATTTTCAATCATTAAATTTGTCAATTAAATTGCGTGAGAAAAATTTGAAAAAATCATGAATATTCAGCGTCATTCAAATTCCATTTTGCATAGAATTATCATTTTTTTAAACATAAAATCGATTTCTGATAAAGTTCTGAATATGAATGCATTTGTAACGATGCTGAAAAATGATTTTAATGGTGCAAAATTAATTGTTTATAAATTATTCACAGAAAATGCACGTGATTTTTAACAATTGCAGTTTTTCCATTATTTCATCAATCTTCCTCCAAAATTACACTTTAATTTTTTTCAGATGTCAAAAATATTTTCTAACAGTTCAATATCGAGAGTCAAATTCAAACCTGCAAAGTGTAAATAAACTCAAATGAAAGGTCTAATGTTCAACAACAAAAGCAGAAAAGCATTTCACCGCAGAAAACATAGCAAAAGTACTTGAATACCCTTAAACCTAGCTAATAATCAAATTATTCAAATTCTGCTGGACCATATTTCGCTCAGCAGCAATAATCCACACAAAAAAAAACTGTAAATTAGTTTAATTGCACTACGTTGCGAAAGCACAAAGCATTCCTCATCAGGTGCATCTATTATTCTAAATTAAAACAAAATTAAGAAGATGTTCTTTGAGGATTCATTTCTAGCTGTTATCTGACGATATACACAAACAGCCATACCGTTCTGTCATGTTAATCGGATGAACTCTGACAGTATCTACACTGAAAATTAGTCATCAGCATGACTAATGACCCCAAGACTTTGCATAATTTAAGAACACAGGGTCGAGAACAACTATTCCATTCAAGCTAATAATCAGAAAAAGAAGAATAGGTCTTTCCCTTCCTTCCAAATTAATAACAAATGAACAATCCTCTCATATTAGTCCCAAATTTTCCTGTGTGAGTTTAATTGTTAGCTCGGATGATCGCCTGTTGGATACAATAACCATAAGAATTCCTCACGGTTATTTAATAAAAAAATATGTGTTAAGGGTCAAAGGCATAAATTCTATACTAAAGTATCCTCCTTATGACCCTGATGAAAATCTCTTAAATGCTATTCCTCAACAACATATTCTCGATGAACCTGAGATTGCGTGTGGATGACAACCTCGAAGTTGTAATACTTTCTTGCAGCTGAAATCGAAGACATCGATTATATACCGAAGCCATCGCAGTGGACTTCCTAGTTCTCACTGCAAGTCCCCAGGAAAATGTCATTTTTCCTGGGGAGAAAATGCGCAAGCAATTATTCACACGTTCCAAATCAATTCCCCAAAGAGAATTCAAAATCTCCGTTACTCACGATATGATTAGGCATGTAAATTCATCAGTTATGGCATTCTTCCATCAACATTGTGGCTTTCACTGTCGCCACTTGTTATTCAACAATCGTTCAAACGAATCTTAAAGGTAAATATTTTCTGCAAGAATTTAATCCGCGAGTAATACGAATATTCATCACGAGTAATGAACACACCGATATGCTAAATGCCTGACAGGCAAACCGCACGTGATGATTCTCATCTCTCTCCGCACTTATCCATTTAGCATTGACCATAAATGACGCCCTGACTGACCCACTTTTGTCGCCACACGTTGGCGTATCCCTGGTGAAGAGGAGAATGCCGGGGACGAGTCAAAACCCAAAAGAAGAGTCACAAGTGCTGCGAGAACGAGGTGAATGCTGGAATGCATTGAGATCACACATCGGTGACTGAATGCAATCACTCCTTTTTGTTTCACTCTTGTTTATACAAGTTCAAGGTTACTGACGTGCACTCAAGTAATGCAATGTCGGATCAATTTGGTTTCTAGGCGGAGAAATTTATTTGGTGAATTTCAAAAACTAGTTGGTGAAATTCACCAACTAGTTGTTGAACCAAATGAATTACCAATCTGTTGATGAATTTCAACAACTAGTTGGTGAATGTCAACAACTAGCCACGCGGGTCACACCTCGTAAGGGTCATGCCGTGTAAGGAATTAATTTTACAAGGGTCATCTCATTATTTATTGATCTCTATTGAATTCGTTGTGTCGTCATCTTGTGTCTTGACATTAACTTGTTTCATTCAGCATTCTTAAATGACAAAACTAATTCAATTGTCTTTGGTAGCTTTTTTGAACTCGTCAGAACAAAATAGTTATTTTCATCACAAGGTCCACAAAGTACTTTCTGACGAATGAGGCTTTTGTCGCCTTCGGCCTATAATCACATTCGTCAGAAAATACTTTTGGACCGTGTGATGAATGCAATTTTTCGTCAGAAGGCCCGTAAACCGCGATCAAACCGAGCGAAGCGAGGTTAGAATCGCGGTTTACCGGGTCTTCTCACGAAATGGTTCTTTTCAGATCCAACTGGGCTTTTCCTGGCTCCAGATAATAAAGCGGAAAATCCAATAAGCTCAATAAATAATGAGATTGACTTTCTCACAATGGAGCTGACTTGTGACATTGGTCTTTTGCAACGTTTGACCCTCGTGAAATTTACTCATTACGAGGTATGAAGCTCATGTTTTTGAGTTTAAAATGCCGCGAATCGAGGATTTTAATCACACGAGTCAGGAAATAGTTTTATCGCCGTGTGGCATACAATATTTTATGTCTGGGCCCGAAAACCGCCATTTAACCGAGGAAATCGATGTTAGAATCGTGGTTTTA